AATAAATAATATATTATACCTTGTCTTTCAATGCTGACCACTTTTCTGTACAATTTGATGATTTCTTCCAGTTTAAAGTGGTTTGTATAACTTTTAATGTATTTGGCCATATCAACATTGTGTGGGTAATCTGGAACATCGTCAGGAAACGGAAAGTCTGAGAAACAGTAGTTGTACTTTGATACATTTCTAAAATTCATTTTATAGATTTTTATATTCATGCATATGTATCAAAGAGTACTTAATAAAACATCCATAAAATGTAGGTTAAGGTGACCCAAATGTTATGGAACTATTTTAGCCTTATTGTAAAATCATATACTAAATCAATTATTCATGAGGTGTTTTCAAAATAAATTCTGACTGACCAGACAACTTGTATTCTCAGAAGTCCTAATAAATGCAAATTTTTACAATATCTCATAAAACAAACAAAAAATAGATTTATAATATATAATAGTTTAGCAATATTGATACATTAAATAAATAACAAAAACTCAAATAAAATTTTCACTTCAAGTTTTCTTGTAAAAAATTTAAAATCCAGCCGTCTAATCTAACCATTTAGCCTAAGGCTCAATTTAGATCTAATTAGTTTACTGATAGTACATGTTTGAAAATTTAAGCTTAGAACTGCTTAAGAACCTCATTCAGATAAACACGAACTTTACTTTAAGGACCTTCTTTATATTCTTCTTCAGTGATTTCAACAAATCTTCATTATCAATTCGTCTCTTGTTTGAGGGTCAAATACACTACAGGTATAATCAAGTTCAAGTTTTGCTATTGCTAAAGTATGCCCTGGAATTGATGTCTGTGTTACATGTGCATAATACTAATATTTTTAATTTCCCCTCATTATCATAGGGCTTATTTCAAACATATCAATCAAGTTACAAGAAATAAGATAGAATGATCCAAATAAATATACCTACATGTAACAAGTATTGTTCAATAATTAGGGGGGAGGGGGAGTCAGTCCATAAGATATTCAAAGGGGGATAACTCCAGGTCCACATATATATATTCATACATTTATTGTCAATCATATTTTGTCAGGACAGAATAATGATTTTCAGGTATTTTGATCTTATTAATTCAGACAAAGAATTAAGATATAAATTATAATTACACATGTACATGTCATCATTTGACATTATTCAAATCAATAAATCATCTTTTGTTGATTCTTTCAAGTTATGACAATTATCAAAAAATTATTAAGATATGCTTCTCTAATATCATCATATTATAGAAAGCTTTTCAATATTAAATATCTTTAATAAGCTTTGTCTTCAACCTTGTTGAGTGAGAAAAACTGATAGCAGCATATACTATCTTGAAGAGGTAATACAACAAGTTGTTCTTCACTATCCACTGTTTTCTAATAAAGATCTCTCTTACAGACTCTCAATTTGAAGAGTATGATTGCTTAGTCTAAATCTACATAAATTGAATCACTTTTTTAAATTAACAAACCCTTCAAATTAAATTTGAAAAAAAAAAAATATTTTTAATTTGCTATGCTTACCATGGGACATGGAGTCTCTTATGCTTTTCCAATGCTTATAAAAATATAGATTGAGGCATTTTTTACAACCAAGTCATTGCAGCCCCAGTGGATCAAGCCCAAGTTGATCTAGCCCATATTGAAAGTTGATTTGGCCCTATATGAAGGATACTTACAAGGGATAAAAGTGACAAATATTTATTACTTGTAGAAGTTGTAGTAAATGAACATGATGATGGTAAATGAATCTAACCAATATAAGCAATGGTAGATGGATGATCAAAATTGTGTCTTTGAAGCAAATTGCAAATTGCAATCTATTTTTTTTAATTAAATGAAATATTTATTCCGATATTTTTTAAATATTAATATTTAGATTTCCAAGTGGAATCTGGCTATGACACACATCGAAATATATCATACTTTTGATGTAAAATATTTATATGAAAATCTTGTACATTGAATCCCCTTTAATGGGTAGGGATGATCAGATTATGCTGATGCAGCAGTATTACAATGTATATATACATGTACATGTAGCATTTACGTTGATTACGATTTTATCAGAAGTTATTACGCATAACTATAATAGAAAAACATATATTACAGAAGTGAGTACATGGAGTATTAGAACAAGTAAAGTCAACATTAATCAACATTTTTTCTGATGACTTTGATCTTAAAAGTCGTTTTTACTGGCGTAATAAATTTTGGTTACACACAATCTTTCTTTTTTGAAAACTTACAAAAAGCAGAATGGTGTGAATTTATCTATACAGTGTTCCAGCTTGAATCTCAGGGCAGAAGGGTGCTAGTTGTCTGAAAGGGCACTTTAGCGTTATAACCCAGATTTTAAGGGCAATGTTGGACAGTGTATAAATTACCTTGAATATTGCTAGGCTCAGCTGGAGAACATTAGTTGTATTTAAACCATATTCAGAAATTAATGTGTTCTTGATATTGGTTCCAGTAAGAATTTTTTCCATCAAATTATCATACCATGGAGCAAAGCATATCATTTTGATGTTAATCTAAACAAACTTGTACATTTGGTATGGAAAATAATCATCAGGAATTTTAATGTTTTATAATTTATACCAAAATAAACAAGTAGTTTTGAAAGATGGAGTTATACATTTAAAATTGAATGTTGAATGTAATTAAATTATCTACATTTAAATTACTTGTTCAAACATATAGTATATATATATTATTGAGAGTTATTTATTATCATTTGAATTGTTACAAAAAATTATTTTTAAGTGCACACCAAAGTGCTCCTCAGTAAGGAGTTTTATAAATATAACAGGTGAGACAGGAGATAATCATATTTTATATTGATGCAATTATATATTGCAGAAGGTATAAACAGTTACTTTTTTCTCCATCATTGTTAAAAATAACTTTGTTGAGTGCTCCTATGTCAGGAGGATTATAAAATACAAGAAGTATTAAAAACAGGAAGTGAATCTTGTTATGTTCAAAGTACAAATTTCTTTGATTCCTCTTTAAATTTCATACTCATGGTTATGAAACAAAACATTTTTTACCAATTAAGTCAAAACTAATTATGCCTTTAAAATTGTTTAAGATTTTATTTTTTTATGTTATGCCTACTGAGATAAATTTTTTCAGGTGTACATGCTGTACATAAACATTACAAATGGATAACATGTGGACATTTCATTCTGTATTAAATATCTAGTATTTGTTCAATTATCTTAAATCCACTAATTAGCAGTAAACAATCATTAACAAAGGTGATAAAACTGCCAAAGCACTAGGTATTTAACTTAATCCCATTGTCAGTTAATTAGTGTTACACAATCAGGTAACAATTCTACCGGAAACGCCGGTAGGCATGAAATTTGAAAAATTTTATTTTTTTGAAAAGGCAGAGGGGTGCATTCTTTTACTTTGGAGGGCAGAAGGGCGGGGGTAAGGGCACCAAGGGCGGGCCGCCCTTCTATTAAGGGCAGGCGGGAACACTGCTATAGTTGTATGTTAAACTTTCATCAATGTCCTTTCCTTAAAATATTCCTCCAATTATCAGCAACATTTACACAACTTCGCCACTTACCCCGACTCCAATATTTAACAAATCTCTTCAACTTTTAAAAGTCATTAGTCTTTAGTCTTTTTTTTAGTATGGGACTGAGTCGACTTAATACCCTTGTATGGAGACAATTAAGTGCTTGTGGTTGTATAACATTTTTATATTTTGTTTTAGAAATTCCCAAGTATTTGTAACAGTGGTTTGATTCCGCCAGTGTAGTTTATTCAGAGGAAGAAAATCCCCAGTGATTTTTATCCACCAACAAAAAATCACTAGGGTTTTCTATCCGGGTCCAGTGTAAAACATCCACCAGTCATTATAAGGTTCTAAAAAGGTTTTTTTGAAGGGGAAATATATATAAAATGTGGCTTAATACATTGTAATAGTTTTTAGTGTATTTGAAAATTGCATAGTTGATTTATGTAAAAAGTGGAGAGTTTTCATCCAAGGAATGTTCACACTAGTGTTTTTGAACCAGGAATGATTACACTAGTGATTTTGTACCGGAATGATTGCACTAGTTATTTTAAACTCGACGGGATTAATTACACTAGTGCTTTAGATCCATTCATTGTTGAAGTGATTAGTACTCATTTTGAACACACGATAACACAATAATGCTTATTAACGAATGAGATTTGAATAATTTTTCTATGCAAATCTATAAACTCATATGCTTTTAAATTGTCACTAATTGTAATATTTATATTTATTGGATTGCCGAAGTTTTTCTATGTATTTGCTTTTCGGTCGACTTGGATATTAAATCATATCTTCTATGTCAATATCAAAGGATGCTTCTGTAATTGAAACTTTATGTAAGAACAAATCTGCTCTTTAAATTTGGTTTGTATCAAGTTCAATGTCCTGATCATTGATAAAGTATTTTGAGTTATAAAAAATTTCCTCCTCATCATCATCAATATTATTTACTAGATTGACTCAGATGAATTAAACTGGTTCCTTGAAAATCATTTTAATTTTAACTCATTTAGTTACCCGAATAAATACACGACGGTTTACGTATTTACAAGGATTTGTATATTGAGATACAAATCCTTGGTATTTTATATCTTTATTTGATATAATGTTGTCAGTGTACATTTTATCATAAAGTAGCTTTGTGACTTACATATGTGTGAATCTCATTACACCATAGTCATTTTCTCTGAATGTCCATAACCCTCCAATATCACCAGATCTCTCTAAGACAACCACACTCAAACCAGCTTCTCTAAGACATTTTGCAGTGACAAGTCCTGATATTCCTGCACCAACAATTATAACATCGGGATGGTGGACACGATCTTGGGAGGACATGTTTTAAATGACATGTCAAGTTATTTCGGGGTAAGATAACGTAAAAAATGGTTCAAAGTTCATTTTAGCTCTTTTAACCATGTGGGTTTGTTTACATTTTTAACTTCCGGCTCTGCGCACCTGACCCGTGACGTCACTTCCTTCTTGAGTTCGATAGCTATCTTGTTCATCACTGGTAAGCATTTCTCTTTTCCTGTTGGAAAGGAAGCTTGATAAGCATTAGAATTACAGTATTTGTTTTTGTATCGTCGTAATATATCGTATTCCTTCAATTATGTAACCAACACTTTCAAAATATATTAGTGTACTGAAATGTCACAATGGATGAACATTCTTAGAATGCCATAAATTTGTCATAATTTCATTTTTACCCAGTTTTCTTATTTGACAGACAACCCAATATAGCTTGCTGCATGAACTTTGCAACTCTTCGAGCAATCTGTTATTCTTTTAATAGTAGAGTTATATACATGCATGATATGTAAAATGGTTGGCCACTTAGCCATAATTTATACTAACATGACAAAGGGTAATCCCTTTCTGAATCCCAAGCAATTTCAGACTTGGCCGCCCACAGAAAATTGCTTCATACTCAGCGGTAGGTCATTTCACCACCAACACTGCAACACATGGGTGAACATCATCAAACTCATCAAAATATCATCTAACACATGTAACATGAATTATATTCTTTTCAACTTATTTATATTTTTTTACACATATGTATACAAATTAATAATATAACCATAGAACCAAAAAGAACATCATTCTGGTCTGACACCTGCAGAATAATAAAATTTTGTACATATAATTATTGTGATAATCTCACTTTAAATACAATGTTTTCGCTTACATGACTACATTTGTAACTTGAACAATTTATTTTTTTTAATATAAATAAGATGTGGTATGAGTGCCAATGAACATGTTTTTTGAAAATTTAATTCCCAAACAGAATGTACTTAAAAATATAAGAAAATGGTAATAGGATTAAATTTTACATAATTTGATCTTTTATATCGTTTTATTGTGAAATTTTACTGTTTTCCTTCAGGGTTAGTAGTCAATGGGGTGTTCTGTGGTGAAAAGACCAACCCATTCTCCGATCTTTAAAAAGTTAAATAAGGAGACCCTTTACTTTAAAGTGAGGGATCAATAAGGGTTTGTTTTAGGTTAAGGTACATGTATGGTTTTTTTTATGCCCCAGCCGTAGCGGAGGGTGCATTAAGTTTTACCCTTGTTCGTCTGTACATACGTACATCCAAAAATTGGTTTCCATTCTCCAACTTAAGTCTGCCTCAACTAAATATTATGAAACTTATAAACAATGCTTATTACCACAAAACACAGATTGGTTTTGAATTTTTGTGGTGTCACTTTTACTGTTCTAGAGTTATGCCCCTTTACATATGGAAAAATTGCTGAAATAATTGTTTCCGTTCTCTAACTTATGTTTGCCTCAACCAAATGTTATGAAACTTATGCACAATGCTAATTACCACAAAACACAGATCAATTTCGAATTTTGGTGGCTTCACTTTTACCGTTCTAGAGTTATGCCTTTACAAAAGGAAAAATTGCTGATTTTTCGTTTCTGTTAGAGTTAGAGTTCCGTTCTCTAACTTTAAATTTTTTGACATCATACACAATGCTTATTACCACAAAATACAGATCAAGTTTGAATTTTGGTGTCGTCACTTTAACCATTCTAGAGTTATGCCCCTTTACAAATGGAAAAATTGCTTAATTTTTCGTTTGTTGTCTAACTTAAGTTATCCTCAACCAAATGTTATGAAACTTATACACAATGCTTATTACCACAAATCACAGATCAACCGTTCTCGAGTTATGCCCCTTTACAAATGAAAAAAATGCTGAATTTTTTGTTTCCAACTTAAATTTGCCTCAACCAAATGTTATGAAACTTATACACAATGCTTATTACCACAAAATACAGATCAAGTTTGAATTTTGGTGGTGTCACTTGAACTTTTCTAGAGTTATGCCCCTTTACAAAAGGAAAAATTGCTGATTTTTCTTTTCAGTTCTCTAACTTAAGTTAGCCTCATCGAAATATTATGAAACTTATACACAATGCTTATTACCACAAAATACAGATCAAGTTTGAATTTTTGTGGTGTCACTTTAACCATTCTAGAGTTATGCCCCTTTACAAAATGAAAAATTACTGATTTTTTTGTTTCCATTCTCTAATTTAAGTTTGCCTCAACCTAATGTTAAGAAACTTATACACAATACTAATTACTACAAAACTCAGATCAAGAACAAATTTGGGTAGTGTCACTTTTACCCTTCTTCAGTTATGTCCCTTTATAACTATATGATATGCAAGCAGGGGCATCATCTGTGTCCACATGTGGACACTATCCACATTTATTTCAAAAATATTATATCCGTTTATAACTTTATATGATATGCAAGCGGGGGCATCATTTGTGTCCCATGGACACATTCCCCATTTATTTTTCATCTTATGTAAATTGATTGAAGAATTTTGTGGTTGGTTTGTTTGTTATTCTGTATAAATTAATTTTCTGAATGATATATATATATATATATTGTTTTTGATGAAGCAAACTCCTTTAAAAACTAAGCTTAGTTTGTCTATTTAAAAAACATATATTTAGATTTCTGATTTTGGGCCCAGTTTTCAAGTTGGTCCAAATTGTGGGGTTCAAAATTATATTGTGTTTAATTTGATTTCAACATAAATTAAATATATATAGGGTTCTTTGAAAAGCTGAATCTAAACCTGTATTTATTTTCATTATTAATTAGATAATACCCCATTGACATGATTGAGGTCCAAAGGGTCCTAAATTAAACTTTTGTTTGATTTCATCAACAATTCAAAAATTGAATTCTTGGGTTCTTTGATATGCTAATGATAACAATGTTATTAGATTTTGGATATTAGACCATAATAGGTAGAGTTCAGATTTCAAATTTTTCAGTTCTTTGACCACATTCATTTAGTGTCACAAACCTATACTGTGTCAAATATTCAATCACAATCCAAATTCAGAGCTGTTTTAAGCTTAAATGTAGTGTCCAGACTTGCTCAACTGTTCAGGGTTTGACCTCTGCAGGAAAATCTGGTTTGCTGACACTCTGACAGCCTCTTGTTTATGTCATGTCATGACAATGAGGTTGCCAACTATGGTCACATTTAAAATGATTGGTGAGAGAGGGGCAAACACATATTTTTGATAATGGCCTCATTGTATCCAGTCCCCACAAAATTTGATCAATGTTTGATTCCTGTAATAATCAAAAGCTCCCTATTAATTTTGAAGGTTTTTTTAAATTGTTATTCCAGACTGTTAAAGAGTCTTTTTTATCTAAAAAAAGACACAATTTGACCAGTTTTGCACTGACCAATTTGCTTTCGCATACATGTATGTACATGTAATCTCATGAATAACAATCTTTCAGTTTTTAAATGGTTCTGCCTTTTCAATTTTGATTGTTCTAGAGTTATGTAACCTTAGTAGTCAAGATAAGGGAGACTGGCCATGGGCATATCATAAGCTTATGATGAAGCACTTTTATTCACACAAGAAATTTGCAATTCTACCTTTAATACAGAAATGCAGAAAAATTTGATGCTAATAATCAACCAAGTTAGTAGTTACACAAGAAACTCAAGCTCTTGAACATGTACATATACATTGTATATAAGTGCATTATATCATCATTCATAGAAGAACCTAGTAAAGTGCATCATTATATATACATTTGTACTATTGTCATGATTGTTCATACATGTAACATAATATTGTTATTTATTGCAGGCTTAAGTGGAAAAATAGGATCGTAAATCCTTATAATGCCCCTGTTTGGGAAGTCACAGAAGAGTCCCCAGGATGTGGTTAAGTCCCTAAAGGAGGCTCTCCTTGCTGTTTCCAAAGGAAGTACAGGGGAAAAGAAAGCTGATAAGGTATGAAGTAATTTGAGCTTAGTCTTTTAAGTGTAATTGAATGTCAAACCTTCAGCTGATCACTTGTAATGGACAAGGAAGTATTAGCATTTCATTTTTTTAATTTTTCATATACATGTATTAATCATTTTAAAGTATTTGGTGAGGTCAAATTATTGAAGCATAGAATTTTTTTATTTTTTCAAATAAATTGGTGTCTGCAGAGGCCGCCATTTTGCATCTTTCACATATCTTTTTTTTTTAACATGTTAAGCATGAAAATTTACTTATTGGGTATATATTTTCACCCTAACATTTTGTATTCTCAACATAACCATAATTTCATACATGTACATGTATGTATATGAAATCAGATTTTCTATTCTAAAGAATTATCCCCCATAGGTATGAAGGTGATTCAACTGTAGGAGTGTCAGAATAACGTTCATATTACACTTTGAATGTCCCATTCATAGTGTAATATAAAGGTTAACATTATAGTAGAGGTCAAGGAAGAAGGATCACAAATTTCTTCTTGTTGAACATATACATGTATATATTGTTTACTTTATTGCACGAACGTGATCGTCTCTTGTTTTCTAAAAAAAAAGACTGGATAGTTCTCCATAGCATATATGCTGAAGTTTTGAAAATAAATAATATGAGGCAAAAATTGCAAATGTTTTAATTAAAATAAGATACAAATGTATAGATGTTCATGTCAAGTGACAGGTACCTTTTCCCCTTTCTACGTTCGTGCACATGTAAACATAACTTTATGATATTAATACTTCCAAGTCTTTGTAATCCTTCTTTTAGCATATAACATGTATGTGTGCATATGATATTTCTGTATATCATTTTTTTTGCAGGCAACAGAAGATATTTCCAAGAATCTTGCCCATATAAAAGGTATCCTGTATGGAGTTGGGGACCAGGAGCCACAGACTGAGTTAGTTGCCCAGCTGTCACAAGAAATGTATAATCACAATATGTTGTTTATGCTTATACAGAATCTGCCTAAGGTGGATTTTGAGGTAATAATCCTTTTTTGCTCACCTGGCCCTAGCCATGTTAGCTTTTTCACCACTTGGTTTCTGTCATTGTCATAAATTTTTTCAAAAATATTCTTCTCCAAAAACACTGGACCAATTTCAATCAAACTTGTGAAAGTTTGCCAGGGGGTGTGGAGCAGAAATACTCAGAAATTCATAAGATCTACCTTCTTCACATCTCCCCCAAAGTTAGCAGAAAACTCCTTATGGAAGTTATTGGTCTTAAATGATAACTTTTTACAAATTTTTGTGTTTTTGTCTATGATCTTGAAACTATAATTAAAAAGCAAAGCAGGAATATATTAGCTGATGATAAGAGACAGCTTATTCAATGTGAGAGCTGAGTATTCAATCACTAAATCATAATGAATATAACAAGGATGCACAAATATATGGTCATATTTCTTTTCATTTCAAGCATGTTGACAATATGTATTTCTGTTTACAGGGCAGAAAAGATGTGGTTCAGATCTTCAACAACATGTTAAGAAGACAGATTGGTTCCCGTGCTCCAACTGTGGAACATATATGTTGTAAACAGGATATACTATCAGAATTAATGAAAGGGTGAGTAAAATGTAACATTCATAGATGTAGCAAACCAAAACAAAATTAAAAACTTCTTGAAAAAGTGATTGAAAAATCACTTGTTTAAGTGATTCCACTGTCAGACTGTAAGCAAGATGATCAGTGAAGAATCAAGATTTTTGTATTGCTTTTATGGAGTCAAAAGGGAGACTTGGGTACAATGTGTGCTGTTTCTAGTGGCATCAACAATTGTTAAAGTTTGTGATTAGGTCAGTTTAAGGAGAACCACTAATGTCAAATCAATAACATTTTGTACACAATTGTATAAGCATTTTATCTCATTCATAAAGGCCAACAGAAAACTTACAAAAATTTCTACTTTCAGTTATGAGAATCAAGAAGTTGCATTGAATTGTGGACAGATGTTACGTGAATGTTGTCGTTCAGAAGAACTAGCTAAGATTTTATTATCTTCTTCACAGTTTTATAAATTTTTTGACTATGTAGAAGTTTCAACGTTCGATATTGCTTCAGATGCATTTTCTACGTTTAAGGTAAGATTCGCATACATTAATATTTATTCAGAAAATACTTTTTACATTATATGTGTTCTTTAGTTGTCAAAGAAATTCTTTTTAATAAAATATAATTTATGTGACTTCAATTTAAATTCTGGTATTCCACACTTCAAACGATGCTCTATTAGTTTAGGGAATTGCTATCAAAGTACCAGTTACTGACAGTTCACAGAATCCATATCATATCCTTGAAGTATGCATTTAGAAACAAAGTCTATAGTGAATAAAAACAGGCTTAACAAATGAAACATGCTGCATCAGATTGTTTTTTTGGAAGCCTAGAAAGATTCACTATTAAATTCTGCAAATTTGAAAAAAATTTGAATAAAATTCATTTAACTTTGGCCCAAAATCTTACCTTTTCCTTTTCGTACCAAATGCTTTTTTGAAATTGTGGTACACACAGTAGTGAACAGTTATTCAGCTCATTTCAGGAACTTCGGGTGGATTTCCATTTTTATAAAACATCTCTTCAGGACACTCTTTTAAGAAGTGATCTAAAATTTTTATATTCCTTCAGGAAATTTAGAGAGAAAGGTTGGTGAATGTGTATTGGCTTTGGTTTAGCTGAATCACTAATCTGGCAAAATAAGCAGCAGTCTTGATAGCCTCTATAAAAGTCTTGTTAATATGTTTTAATTATGTTCACATAAGTTTTTGTATGCGAGTAATATATTGGTGAATTAATAATACTTATAATATTAAAATGATGTGGTATGATGGCCAATGAGACAACAATCCACCAGAGACCAAATGTTAATATTTGTTTTTGAGAATCACTGCTAATCTAAACAATCATATGATTGTCCCCCGTGCAATGCATTGCTGGATACATAGAAATATAGGGCGTTTGTCTGTCCGTCCAGTCCTGTCAGCGCTCTCACATGTACAATTCTTGCCAGATTTTTTATAAAACTTATATCATAGCTTTATATCAGCATTGTCTCGGACAAGTTTAAAAATCGGTGCCGATTAAGAATTTTTAAAAGAGTTATGCCCTTGGAAATATTGATTAAAGGGAAAATTGTATTGTTAAGTTTATATCAGCAATATCTTAGATAAGTTCGAAAATCAGTGCTGATCAACAATTTTTATAAGAGTGATGCCCCTTGGAAATATTAATTATATGGAAAATTGAATTGTTAACCTTCTCATGTGTACAATTTTTGCCAGATTTTTATGAAACTTATATCATAGGTTAACATCAGCAATTAATATCTTAGAAAAATTCGAAAATCAGTGCTGATCAATTTTTGATGCCCCACCTAGGGGCATTATGTTTTTCGGTCTGTGCGTCCGTTCGTCCGTCTGTCCCACTTCAGGTTAAAGTTTTTGGTCAAGGTAGTTTTTGATGAAGTTGAAATCCAATCAACTTGAAACTTAGTACACATGTTCCCTATGATATGATCTTTCTAATTTTAATGCCAAATTAGAGTTTTGACCCCAATTTCACAGTCCACTGAACATAGAAAATGATAGTGCAAGTTGGGCATCTGTGTACTATGGACACATTCTTGTTTTTAAAGAGTTATGCCCCATTGAAATATTAATTACATGGAAAATTGCATTGTAAGCGCTCTCACATGTACAATTTTTGCCAAATTTTTATCAAATTTATATTTAAGGTTTATATTAGCAATGTCTAGGACAATTTCGAAAATCAGTGCAGATCAAATACTTTTTGGGTAAAGATTGCATGAAATGCAATCAAAACCATTTGGTACTGAATTGATTTCTAAATCTTCCAAGGCTTATCACTACTTTTGCAATATACAAAATATAGTGCAGTGATCATAACATTCTAAACATCCTATCCATGAACATTTAAAGAAATTTATCAATGAAATATATGCTCGGATATTCAAGTTACAAAATGATGTTATACTTGTCAAGAAAATTACATAACTTGTGCAAGTGCAGTAATCTAATATTTGTTCTAAAAATATCAATGGTGTCACTGTTAAAGTAGTCTGTAAAATTTGAGTTATCTTTCTTTGTCCATACATGTATATATAATTGCAGTTGAATCAACTACAACCAATGATTTTACAATGCAATGTTTAATTTTACTTCCTACTGAAAAATTAAAGTAATCTTTACCCTTCAGTGCTTACAAGCACTTTGATTTAAGAGTTGTGCCCCTTGGAAATATTTATTATATAGGTAATTGCATTGCATTTGCTCTGAAGCCTTCATTTCTCTATGATATTTATAAAAAATTTAAAGAACAAAAAAAAAGTTTTTATTAGTTATTGCCCGTAGACAGATAAAATATGTGCAACTCTGGGGACATTTGAACTCTGTTCTTTTATTAAGGTTGTGATAGACGACAAATAAAAATTGTTCAAATTTAAATGTTTACTTGTTTCTTTTAATGAATCTGAAGGCATAATTTTAGGTTCATCTATATATACCAATCTGAACAATTTTAGTAGAGACTGACTTGAATCGTTTTATATATTGCCTAACACATTTATTTACCTTTTCCAGGAATTATTGACGAAACACAAAATGTTGTCATCAGAATTTTTAGAGGCTAATTATGACAGGATATTTGATAATTACCAGTCTTTGTTAAATTCTGAGAATTATGTTACAAGACGGCAAGCACTCAAGGTAAGTATTTATCTCAGATGGTTGAACACCCCTTCAAATATCCAGATACTACTACAAGATAACTTACATTTGGCATCCAATATTTTATTATATCTGTCTCATTATTTGTTATTGGAATAGGCAGTAACAGAAATTAAATATTTTTCCTTTCACATTTTTTTTCAGTTTAGAAAATAGAAAATTTTGTGTAGTCCCTTGTTTAAATTCTGAAGCTCATGTCATTTTGTATAGTATATATTTTTTGTTGAAATAGAATGCGACACATTAATCATTTCCTGTAGTGGAATAGAATTTTATGATGTGGCCTTTTTATGGCCATTTTGATTTTTTTTTGTCAGAGTTTTGTCCCTTTTACTTATAAATACAATATAAATAAAAGCTGTTGCTAAATGGTATTTTGACTAAAAACATTGAAAACTCATGAATGCCTGCATTAATTCTCTTTTATGACTATGAATATACTTTAGTGAGACTGCAACCAGTACAAACAAGAGTGCACACGCTGAAATGTCTCGCCTTCTTTACTAATCATTTATATTATGTTGATAGTCCTAAATATAAAGCTTTATTACAACTGTCACATAAACTTAACATTAACCAAGTAAACTAAACATTGACCAATGAACCATGAAAATGAGGTCAAGGTCAGATGAACCATGCTACGCAGGCATGTACAGCTAACAATTCTTCCATACAACAAATATAGTTGACCTATTGTTTATAGTTTAAGAAAAACAGACCACAACACAAAAACTTAACACTGAGCAATGAACCTTGAAAATGAGGTCAAGGTCAAATAAAACCTGCCTGACTGACATATAGATCATAAAATATTTCCATACACCAAATGTAGTTGAACTATTGCATAGAGTATTAGAAAAAAAGACCAAAACTCAAAAACTTAACTTTGACCACTGATCCATGAAAATGAGGTCAAGGTCAGATGACACCTGCCAGCTAGATATGTACACCTTACAATCATTCCATACACCAAATATAATAGACCTATTGCATACAGTATAAGAAAAACAGACCAAAACACAAAAACTTAACACTGAGCAATGAACCTTGAAAATGAGGTCAAGGTCAAATAAAACCTGCGTGACTGACATATAGATCATAAAATATTTCTATACACCAAATATAGTTTACTATTACATATAGTATTAGAAAAAAAGACAAAAACTCAAAAACTTAACTTTGACCACTGAACCATGAAAATGAGGTCAAGGTCAGATGACACCTGCCAGCTAGACATGTACACCTTACAATCATTCCATACACCATTTATAGTTGACGTATTGCATACAGTATTAGAAAAAAAGACCAAAACTCAAAAACTTAACTTTGACCACTGAACCATGAAAATGAGGTCAAGGTCAGATGACACCTACCAGTTGGACATGTACACCTTACAATTATTCCATATACCAAATATAGTAGACCTACTGCTTATAGTATCTGATATATGGACTTGACCACGAAAACTTAACCTGGTTCACTGATCCATGAAATGAGGTCGAGGTCAAATGAAAATTGTCTGACGGGCATGAGGACCTTGCAAGGTACGCACATACTAAATATAGTTATCCTATTACTCATAATAAGAAAGAAATTAACATTACAAAAAATGTTGACTTTTTTTTCAAGTAGTCACTGAACCATGAAAATGAGGTCAAGGACATTGGACATATGACAGACGGAAACTTCGTAACATAAGGCATCTATATACAAAGTATGAAGCATCCAGGTCTTCTAGCTTCTAAAATATAAAGCTTTTAAGAAGTTAGCTAACACCGCCGCCGCCGGATCACTATCCCTATGTCGAGCTTTCTGCGACAAAAGTCGCAGGCTCGACAAAAATCATAAAAGATGTGTATATGTCAACATACAGTTTCAAAATGTTCTGAAGTCAAAATGAGTCAAGGTATATATTGAATCCCTGGACACAAACATTTTCAAGATTTCTCAAAATTTCTAGATCAGGGGGTGTGCTGTTGTGGCCATGCTAATGCTACAAATACACATAATGCATAATTCAGGTATCCTAACTTCATAAATTATTAGGTGATGTGCCAAAAGGAAGTTATATTATATTAACAATAAGCCTGCTACACGACTTGTATGGATTTAGATTGGTAAAAATTCAGTGTATTTTTCGAGTTTCTCTTGATTTTAAATCAGCTACATGTATAAGCAATAGAACTGGAAATGAAAATTTTTGATTAAAAAGTAACAAAATGTTGGATTTTGTTTGGAGTGATGGTAAAAAAGTTCAGAATTATTTCAATGATAATGATGTGACAGCGTTAGCCAATTTAAAGGATTTGGACCAGAACAGAAGATATGACAGATGGAAATAGAAACATTTTAGCAAATTTGCCAATATAAGACTTTTCGTGCAAAACCACTGGGATTCTCAGACGATGTATGAAACGGATGGACATGAGTTGGAGAACAGAAACGAAAAATTCATCAATATTTTTCCATTTGTAAACGGGCATAACTCTGGAACGGTTAAAGTGACAACACCAAAATTCAAACTTGATCTGTATTTTGTGGAAATAAGCATTGTGTATATGTTTCATAACATTTGTTGAGGCAAACTAAAGTCAGAGAACGGAAACGAAAAATTCAGCAATTTTTCCATTTGTAAAGGGGCATAACTCTAGAACGGTTAAAGTGATGCCATTAAATAAAACAGAAACCATGTGCTCACCTCTTATAGTAGTAATTGTCCTTTAAAGATAATATTTAGCTCACCTGGCTTAAATGGCCAGTTGAGCTTTTCTCATCACTTGTTGTCCGGTGCCAATGACCCCGTCTGCAAACCAACATGGCTGACTCGGCTAAAAATAGAACATAAGGGTAAAACACAATTTTTATACGACCGCAAACAAATTTTGTGGTCGTATATTGGTATGACGTTGGCGTCGTCATCCTCCTCCGAAGACACATTGGTTTTCGCACTCTAACTTTAGTTTAAGTGAATGGTTCTCTATGAAATTTTACCATAAGGTTCAATACCACAAAAGGAAGGTGGGGATTGATTTTGGGGGTTATGGTACCAACAGCTAAGGAATTAGGGGCCAAAAATAAGCATTTTTGTAACTTCCAGACATAACTTGTGTGTTAGTGTATGGATCTCTCTGACATTGTACCACAAGGTTCCATATCACAAAGGGAATGCTGGGATTAATTTTGGGGGTAATTGCCTCCAAATTTTAAGGAATTAGGGGCCAAAAAGGGGCAAAAAACAAGCATTTTTCTTGTTTCATGACAATAACTTGTGTGTAAGTGTATGGATCTCTCTGACATTGTACCACAAGGTTCCATATCACAAAGGGAATGCTGGGATTGATTTTGGGGTTAATTGCCTCAAAATATTAGGAATTAGGGGCCAAAAAGGGGCAAAAAACAAGCATTTTTCTAGTTTCATGACAATAACTTGTGTGTAAGTGTATGGATCTTTTTGAAATTGTACTACAAGGTTCCATATCACAAAGGGAAAGCTGGAATTGAGTTTTGGGGTAATTGCCCAAAACGTTTAGGAATAAGGGGCCAAAAATAAGCGTTTTTCTAGTTTCCAGACAATAGCTTGTGTTCAAGTGTATGGATCTCTCTGACATTGTACTGCAAGGTACCATACCACAAAGGGAAGGCTTGGATTGATTTTGGGGGTAATTGCCTCAAAATTTTAGGAATTAGGGGCCATAAAGGGGCAAAAAAACAAGCATTTTTCTAGTTTCAGGACAATAACTTGTGTGTAAGTGTATTGATCTTTATGAAATTGTACTACAAGGTTCCATATCACAAAGGGAAAGCTGGGTTTGAGTTTGGGGGTAATTGCCCTAAAGGTTTAGTAATTTGGGGCCAAAAAACAAGCATTTTTCTAGTTTCCAGACAATAACTTGTGTTCAAGTGTATGGATCTCTCTGAAATTGAACTGCAAGGTACCATACACAAAGGGAAGGCTGGGATTGAGTTTGGGGGTGATGAATCATAAGGGGGTTCAAAAAATTTGGGGGGGAGGGGATTTTTTTTTTCCTTTAAAATTTCCATTTTAAATTGGTTATTTCTAATTTATATATAAAAGCAAATAATAATGATATGGTTTGAATAGGTAAATTTAAAATTTTTAAGTTCTTAGACCACATTCTTTCTGTGTCAGAAACCTATGCTGTGTCAAATATTTGATTACAATCCAAATTCAGTGCTGTATCAAGCTTGAATGTTGTGTCCATACTTGCCCCAACTGTTCAGGGTTCAACCTCTGCGGTCGTATCAAGCTGTGCCCCAGCGGAGCATTTTACTGTCAATTATCTTGAAAACCACCATGAATAGAAAAAATCTGTCTGGGACAGAAATGTTCAGAATGATGAGATCTACAGATAGTTGATTACTTTAAAACTGTCAGACGACTTCTTATTGGAGTTATTGCCCTTAAATGACAAATTTTACCGATTTTTAATGTTTTCCTAATATCTGAAAAATTATAATAGATAGAGAGAAATTTAATTACCAAAAATGATCAACAAGACAAGATCAACAATCTTGAAATCGTCTGACGACCCTCTTATTGGAGTTATTGCCCTTTGAAAATGATTTTTACCATTATTTTGTCTTTTTGCCTAATATCTGAAAAACTATAATAGACAGATAGAAACTTAAATAAGCGAAAATCATCAACAAAACTTGATCTACAAATAAGTCATATAAGCCGAAATCATCTGTCGGCTCCTTGTAGGAGTACTTGCTCTTTAATGACAATTTTTACCAATATTTTACATTTTTATGTCCCACCTACGATAGTAGAGGGGCATAATATTTTTCAGTCTGTCCATTCGTCCATTTGTTCGTTCTTCCGTTTGTTCATTCGTCAGTCTGTCCTGCTTTAGGTTAAAGTTTTTGGTCAAGGTAGTTTTTGATGAAGTTGAAGTCCAATCAACTTAAAACTTAGTACACATGTTCCCTATGATATGATCTTTAATGCCCAATTA